GCAGCGATTCTCCCTCCAGGGCGCCCGGGGGCAGAGCCTGGCACAGCAGGGCCTCCAGCAGCAAGGCGTGGGCGCAGGCCTTGATGGCATCCACGCTGCTCGACCCATAGCGCAGCCCCACAGCCACGGTGCCTGTGGGGAGGAGGGCACAGAAGGGTGTCCCACACCGCCTCACTGCACTGCCATCCTGCACACCCGGGTCCCCTTTCCCTTCCCCTCTCTGCCCCCCATGGCTGCTGTGCGGGACACCCGGGTCCCCCTTCTCCCTCCCAGACCCTGCTCACCAGCTTTTCGGTTCAGAGCGATTAGATAGTTCCTCGTGTTGCCCTGGCAGGCCTGCTGGAACTCAGCTACGCTGGGGGATAGACAGAGGGAAAGGATACTCAGAGAGGAGACATGGACTTTGTTTAGCCTCTGGAACTCCCTGCCACAAGATGTTACCCGGAGAAGATCGGTTTCTATGAGCAGGAACAGCTACGGGAGGGTGCCGAGGGGTCTTCCTAGGGACCTGTGAGAGGCAAGTTAACCTCCGTTACTCACCTGGACACCAGCACGGGGAGTGAGACCCCCAGAGTTATCCCAAGATGCCGCTGGAATCCTGCAGAAGTGGGGAGCAAGGAGTCTGGTCAGTTGGGTGCCGGGGGTGGGGATGGGCCACAGATCTTTCCCCTCTATGGGGCACTGACTCAGGGGTGAGGCACTGGCTGGCTCAGAGGGGCAGAGAATGGGACATGGGGGAAGCTGGCTCCAATCTGACCCCAGGGAGGGGTAACTGGCTGCCTTGGGGCGGGGTGGGGACATGGGGCCTTCCCCGTCTCAGAACTGGTCTGTCTCTACCCATGCTGGCGTTCTCCTCCTCCCCCTGCCCCAGCTCACCTGGCAGCAGGGGTTCCCGAGGGTTGGCCTGGGCAGGCGTGGGGACCCAGCCCTGGCACAGGTAGTGGTGCAGGGCAAGGCGCAGCCGGGCCCGGTTGAGCGTCTCCATGCAGACGGCCCGCACGGCCCGGTAGTTGGCGTAGAGGTGTAGAGCCGTGAACAGCGGGGCCCAAGGAGAAGGGGGGGGCTGGGCGTGGCAGCATTAGGGGTCAGGTGTGTCTCTGTGGGGGAGGTCCAAGGTTGAGAATTGCACCATGAGGATCAAAGCGTGACGGTCACCCAGGGGTTGAGGTCAAAGGTCAAGCAGCACCCCAGAAATGCCATGGGTCAAGGGTCACACGATGGGGGGCAAAGGGCACACGCGATGCAGTGCCAAAGCAAGCGCTGCCCAGCGGGTGGTACAATCCCTCTCCCCCCAAACACTTCCCCGGGGGCTTGGGGCACTCACTGGAGCCTGTCGGTGACAAGGGGGATGAGGAGGAGGCTAACGAGCAGGCCGGCTAGATTCACCAGCGTCTCCTGGGGGGAGGAGAGGAGTCAGTGAAGGCGTCTGCAGTAGCAAGGTATCCTCCAGGGGCATCACTGCCCTGCTGCACTTTGGGGGCACCTGTCCCCCCTGTCCCTGGACTATGGGTGCCCCTTGACATTGGCTCTCCCCGCCCAGGTAGGATCCCACCTGGCTCCCGTCCTTGGCCGAGACGTCCGCCATGTTGTCCCGCCGGGCCTGGTGCATGGTGAGGGCTGCCCGGGTGGCACCTCCGGCCACTCCTACGATGCACTGGGGCGGAGAGAGAGGAGAGGGGTTCATGCCAACGAGTGTCGCTGGTAGCAACGTAAGACAGAGCCATATCCCAAGGGAACGGGCGGTTCCCGTGAAATCGGGGCGGTTTCAGCAGAATTTCATCCGGGGGGGTTGGGGGGGAAGGGGGCAAATATGTTCCCACAACGTCCCGATTTTTCAATGAGAGAAGCATTTTTGTTTAGACTCTTGTGATTTTGCTTTGGCATCTGTTGCCATGGGACGCTCTCAGGGCCTCAGGAGCCGGCCTCCGCTGTGCAAAGAGGTGACACTGAAGCAAAATGTCTCCAAAGTTTTGTGGAATTTTCCTTCCCGGAGACTCAAAACAGCCACGTTTTGCTCAGACTGAGAATGCCGCCAAAGGTCAAAAACCTGATGTGAAATTAAACTTCTGCTGTCCAGGCGGCTGATGCTGACCGTGGCCCCAGGGCCAACCCCCTGCCAGCCCTCCCCACACCAATGCCCCAATCCCAAGCCGGGATGGATTTGATTCCCAGGCCAGAAGGGATCATCTCGTCCCACACGCACCAGAGGTCTGCCCCAGAGTCATTCCTAGAGCAGAGCTTGTAGGGAAGCATTGAAACGTGACTGAAAAGTTGTCAGTGATAGAGAATCCCCCATGACCCGCAGGAAATTGTCCCAGTGGTTTATAACGGGCGCTGTGAAATAGCCACCTTTATTTCCAGTCCGGTAGCCTCCCCGGGAATTTCCCGACACACCGAACCCTTTCACGCCCCCACCAGCACCCCAGCCCCTCCCCGCTACCTTGAAGAAGCCGCTGGTGCAGACGATGAGAGTGAAGCATGCTGGGAAGGCAGGGGCCAAGATCTCCATGAAGATGGCCAGGTCATTGAGCCCATCTGCGAAGAGCCTGCGGGGCCCAAGGAGAAGGGGGGGGTGGGGCGTGGCAGCATTAGGGGTCAGGTGTGTCTCTGTGGGGGAGGTCCAAGGTTGAGAATTGCACCATGAGGATCAAAGCGTGACGGTCACCCAGGGGTTGAGGTCAAAGGTCAAGCAGCACCCCAGAAATGCCATGGGTCAAGGGTCACACGATGGGGGGCACGCGATGCAGTGCCAAAGCAAGCGCTGCCCAGCGGGTGGTAAAAGGGGACGATCACACAAGGGGGGCTGGGCGGATAAAGGCCCAGTGGGAGGTCAGAGCGCGAGGGTCACCTGAAAGACTCGCACGGGAGGATCGTCCTCTCACGTGCAGAGAGCAAGGCCAACACATGTAAGGTGCAGGGGTCAAAGATCAGCAAGCGGGCGATGCAGTGCCAAAGCAAGCGCTGCCCAGCGGGTGGTAAAAGGGGACGATCACACAAGGGGGGCTGGGCGGATAAAGGCCCAGTGGGAGGTCAGAGCGCGAGGGTCACCTGAAAGACTCGCACGGGAGGATCGTCCTCTCACGTGCAGAGAGCAAGGCCAACACATGTAAGGTGCAGGGGTCAAAGATCAGCAAGCGGGGACCAGCCAAGGGCAGTTGAAGGGCAGCTCAGGGAGAGGGGTGTCGGGCACCCGGGGACGAGGAATTGGGGGCAGGGATGTGAAGGGGAAAGGGGGGGCGGGGCCTTTCCTCACTCACCTCCACTGCTTGGCGTCACAGTCCAGTTTGCTCCTGGGGGAAGGGAGAGAAGGGGTCACAAGGGTGACCATGAGACAGCCCCGCCAGCCCTGGTGACCCCGAAACGTCCTCCTCCGCGGGGCGTTCAACTCACCCTTTCATCCAGGCAAACAGGATCCGGCCAAGCATCCCCGTCCCATCTGCAGCGGAGACAGAGAAGGGGTGTCGGGGGGGCCAGGGAGAATGGGGGGGTTCAGGGAAGTCTGGGGGGCAGTACTGGAGTTAGTGAGAGCGAGTGGGGGATGCTGCAGGCCAGCATGCAGGCATGCAGGTATGGGGGACTCCCAAGCCGGGATGGATTTGATTCCCAGGCCAGAAGGGATCATCTCGTCCCACACGCACCAGAGGTCTGCCCCAGAGTCATTCCTAGAGCAGAGCTTGTAGGGAAGCATTGAAACGTGACTGAAAAGTTGTCAGTGACAGAGAATCCCCCATGACCCGCAGGAAATTGTCCCAGTGGTTTATAACGGGCGCTGTGAAATAGCCACCTTTATTTCCAGTCCGGTAGCCTCCCCGGGAATTGAAATTAGGAGGGGTGTTCGAATTTACAAAGGGGGGAGTGTCAGGGCCGGTGAGGGGTGACACCATGACGGTGAAGGTGAGCTGTATGGCACCATAGTTCACAAAACTGGGAGGGTATTGGGGAAATTCAGGGGGGTATACACCCCCAAGGGGGGTGTCAGGAAATCCCTGTTCCAGTCTCCTTCAAACTGCAGACAGTGGAGCCGGTTAGACCTTGCTCTGCCCCGCTGAAGAGCCCACGACTGAATCTCTGTTCCCCATAGAGGCACTTACAGACTGTCAAGTCATCCCCTTCGCCTTCTCTTTGTTAAGCTAAATAAATCGAGTTCCTGGAGTCTATCGCTACACGGCAGGTTTTCTCGTCCTTTAATCCTCCTCACGGCTCTTCTCTGATCCCTCTCCAATGTGGCAACCTCCTTCAGGAACTGCAGGATCCGGCACTGGACACAGGGTCCCAGCAGCAGACGCACCAACGATAAATACCGAGGTAAAATCACCTCTCTGCTCCGACTCAAGGTGCCTGTTTCTGTATCCCAGGATCGCACTACACTGGCATTTCTTCTTCAGCTGATTGTTCACAGGACCTCCCTTTTTTCCCCCACAGTCCTGTCTTCCCTGTTCTTCGTTCCTATACCTACTGGCTACATCTACATTGGCAAGATTTTGCGCAAATACTTTTAACGCAAGAGTTTTTGCGTTAAAGTATTTGCTCAAGAGAGTGTCTACACTGGCACGTGCCTTTGCGCAAGACATGTGCTTTTGCACAAAAGCATCTATACAAGTGTAGACGCTCTCTTGAGCAAGAAAGCTCCAATGGCCATTTTAGCCATCGGGCTTTCTTGCGCAAGAAATTAACGTTGCCTGTCTACACTGGCCTCTTGCGCAAGAACAGTTGTGCAAGAGGGCTTATCCCTGAGCGGGAGCATCATAGTTCTAGAGCAAAAAGCCCTGATTTCATACATTAGAACGTCAGTGTTCTTGTGCAAGAACTCCCCGCCAGTGTAGACAGGCAGCATGCCAATGTAGACACAGCCGCTATGTATTTAGGCATGTCAAATCACATATTGTTTACCTGAGCCTAGCTGCGCAGATCGCTCTGTGTTGGTGACCAGTCCTCTTCACTATTTCCCACTCCCCAGACTGTCTGTCTTATCGGTGATGATTGTGTGTTTTCCAGCATGTCTTTTAAACAAATGTTCAACAACAAAAAACGCAGAAACTGATCCCCGCAGGACCCCGCTAGTAACTCGCCCACAGGATAGTGACTCCCTGTTCACAGGCACATTTTGAGACCTGTTTGTAAATCATTCTTAGGCTTTTAATGAAGATGCCATGCAGCACCATGTGAAAAACCTCACAGAAACCTAAGTATGTTACGTCCACACGGCTGTCTTTATCAGGCTTCTGATTTCTAATCACTGTTCGGATGTTCCCTTTCCTCCCATTCATTACATGTGATTTTTTCGTTTTTGATAGCTGCCTTGACTTCCCCGCTAAACCACATCATCTTTTTAACCTGTCCCAGATGATGGGATTGGGGGCAGGGATTTGTGGAGTAGGTGTCCCCAGGAGCAGGATCAGTCAGGGTGATTCCGCGGGTTGTCTCTCACCTTTGAGTATCCAGGTGACCGTGGCTGCAGCAACAGTTGAGGTCTGGTCCCCCACGCCCACCCCCTTCAGCACTGCCTGTGTGGCCAGTGCCCCTGTGATGCTGCTGGCAAAGGCCTGGGGGGAACAGGGGAGGCTGTTACTATAGGGCAGCCCCTGGAGATGCAGGTACCAACCTTTCCCAACTCCTGGCTTCTGAGTGCCCATTACCCCCATCACACCCTTCTGCCCTTAGCCAGTCCTCCTCCACCCAAGACTATAAAGAGGGGGATTTGGCCATACCTCACCGCACTCTGAGCCCCCAAAACCTACTGCTAAGCAGCAGAAGCCCCCCAAGTCCTCAGGTCTGGGGCTGGGTTCCCTCACCTCCCCTTCACCACCTCACCTGCACAGTGTCCCAGATCTGGTAGGACAGGTAGTCCTGGCTCACACTCTCGGGGTACCCCTGAGGCAGAAACACGGACTGCAGCAGAGAATAGGGGGTGCAAGGGTGAGCAGAACAGGGACCTTCCTCCGAGGAATCAGAGACCACACATCCCACCCTGACATCTCCACTCAGTCCACTACACGCTCCACCCTCCAAAACGTTCCACCACCCCCCGTAAATGCCTCCAAATCTCCCTTCCCCACATCTCCCCATTATCCTCCTCAGTTTGCCTTCCTAATCTCTGACCCTCTCCCCACTCAGATGCAGCCTGGCTGAGTTGCCTTCCCAATCCGGGTCCCCCACCCTGATCTCTTCCCCCCCCCCTGCCAATTTACCTTTCTTACTTCTGAGCCCCTCCTCCCCTGCCCACCTCTGAATTACCCATCAGACTTTCTGGCTCCCCACAACTCCCTGTCTTTTCTCTCGGACCCTCCCCCCCAGGGCTAACTGCCTTTGGACCCTCCACTGCTCATCTCACCATAAAGATCTCCTGAAGCGAGCGCCACCCCACATGCCCGGGATCATCCCCCACACAGCTGAGGTGCCCGTCGGGAGAGGGCAGGTAGCACCGGGCACTGCGGGAACCGTATTGCTCTGTGCAGAGCGGCTGCAACCCCAGGCTGGGCATGGCCGGCGTCGGATCTAGGGGAGAGGGGTTAGAGAGAGGGAGAAGTCCACGGGCACAGAACAAGAACACAACACACTGGGGCTATGTCTACACTGGCGAGTTCTTGTGCAAGAATGTCGGTTCTTGCACAAGAACCTGCAGAGCGTCCACACTGCCCGCTCGTTCTTGCGCAAGAAGTTTTACAGTACGGCGTTGGAGGACAGGGCTTCTTGTGCAAGAGCTACGCTCTTTTCTAACAAGTGTAAGCCCTCTTGCACAGGAGCTCTTGCACGGCAGGGGTTTCTTGAGCAAGAAAGCCCTGTGGCTAAAATGGCCATCAGAGCTTTTTTGTGCAAGAGAGTGTCTACACTGCCATGGATGCTCTTGTGCAAAAGCACACTGCAGTGTGGACATGCTCTTGCACAAGAGTTCTTGCACAAGAACCCTTGCACTAGATGTAGAACCTGCCAGTGTAGACATAACCTGACTGTGCTAGTGCACACACACATTACACACACCATAAACACCCAATGTAATGCAGACACTGCACATGCTCAGTGTGACACTCCGTGCGAGTGGGCTGTCAGTGCGTGAAATGCTGTGGGCATCTTAGCCTGTGTGCATGCGTAATCTGCCTGCAGGATGCTTGTGTTACACACCATGTTTGCAGTAGTGCATATGCACAAACAGTGTGCAGTCTGTCTGTATGCTACTGTGTGCAAGTGTGTGGTGTGTGCTATACATTTTACGCACGTGCATGTGACAATGCACATGAGCGTACAAGTGTGTGCAAGTGCACATGTACATTACACTGCTGCTCTGTACATGTGCAACAGGTGCATTATTACATGCTCTGTGCGTGTCCATTGCACCATGTGCATTATACACTTGTGTGTGCAGGGTACACTTGTGTTACATGCTCTGAGTCACATTGCTCTGCATGAAGGCATGTGACGCTGTTCCTTTCTCTGTGCCTACGCATGGCAGTACGTGTGTGCCCTACAAGCTGGCTGCACGTGTGCGTGTTACATGCTCCCTGCGTGCACATGTGTGGGCGTTACACCGAGTCACCAGCTGTGGGTGCATATGTGTTACATTGTGACACGTGCTGTGCGTGTGACTGTGACACACGGTGTAGCTGCTACACACACAGCTGCGGTGACATGGGGGTGCAGAGTTGCTGAGTTACACTGTCCCTCCCCCGCCCCACTCCGAGCGCCCCGCAAGCCCGGCGCGGGACACGTTGGCAGATGGGGGAGAGGCTGGGGAAGCGCCCCTCCCCCGCGTCCGGGACACACCCCGGGCCCAGCTTCCCGCACCTACCTGGGGCTGGCGGGGCACAAGGAACTCGTGGCAGTGCAGTGTTCTAGCCCCCGCTCCCCCGCGCGGGGCATTATGGGGGATGTAGTTTTTTTCCCGCGCAAGGCATTGTGGGGCGTAGGGTTCCCCCCCTTCCCCCCGCATGGGGCATTATGGGGGATGTAGTTTTTTCCCCGCGCAAGGCATTGTGGGGCGTAGGGTTCCCCCCCTTCCCCCCGCATGGGGCATTATGGGGGGTGTAGCTTTTCCCCAGGGGGGACAGGGATGTAACCCTAGATGGAGGTCCCCAGCTGCAGGGCTCATGGGTTGGGGGTGCAGAGCTGGATTCTGGCACCAACCTCTCAGCCTGCTGGGTCCCTGGTGGGGCGCAGGCTGCCAGGCGCCCGGTATGTTCGCCTTGTTTGTACCCGTATAGAAAGTGGTGTCTCGTCGTGGCGCATGGGACACACAGGAGAGTGTGCCAGTTAAGAGATGGGTTGAGCTCTGTGGTACCTTTGTTGCAAGGCTGTGGGATGTTACAGGGGATCAAGCCCCAGGCTGTGCAAGGTACATTTGTGCTTCAGGAGAGCTGCATATGTGGGTGTGTTACACACTGCAACTTGTGAGCTCCGTGTGTGTGTTTCAGAAGCCCTGTCTGTGTTACACGTGCAATACTGGAGCTCAGGCATTGCGGTGAGTTTCAAGAGGCTGTGTGTTACAATTAGCATTAGTGGGGCTCACACATGGCTGCAGTGTGGGTGTGTTTCGGGAGGGCTGCGCTGTGTGCATTTCAGGAGCTCACACCCACGTTTCTCCCCACTGCTATCGGGAGGGAAGCTGCCCCATAAAGATGCCACGTTCTGACCGCACCTGGCTGTTTGGAGACACAACTCTACCCCACCCTTCCCTACCTGGTCTTCCTTAAATTTCTGTACCCAGTGTGGCCCTCAGGCCAAAAAGTTTGCCCACTCCTGGCCTAGAGGCTGCAGGGACCTGGCAGCTGCTTCTTGGGAGCCCCAGTCTGGAGTCCCATCTTGCACCCTAACTCCTTCCGAGAGACTGCACACCATGCATCCCCCATTCTCAGCTTGCACCCCATCCCCTTATCCTTGGCCCCACCCCAGAGCCCACCCTCCCCAAGTGGAGCCTGCCCCACCCCAGCCTGGCAAAAGTGAGGGTGGGGAAGAGCAAGGAAGGAAGGGAAGGGGATGGAGTCAGTAATGGTGGGGTCTCTGGGAAGGTGGAGCCGGGATGTTCAGTTTTGTGTGAGTAGAAAGTTGGCAACTCTAGATGGGGCTGGGCCACAAACCTGTCTGGAAGGGCATGTATGGGAATGGAGTGAGATCCGGGGTACAAAGGGTTGGGGGCTAGGAAGATATATATGAGATAGGGAAATACAAGGCTGTATAAGAATAGCCTCAGGAAGAGTCATGCCTGGCCATAGGCCCCTGTAAGAAAGCTGGGCTGGGTGTACTGGGTTCAATCCCTGGCTGTGGGAAGGGGATGGGGACTGACTCTAGCCAACTGGAGCAAGGAACAGGTGTTGGGACTGCAGGGGGCTAGCCCTGGCTTGGGGAGGGCTGTGCCACAAGGTGCTCTACTGTCTACCTCGCCAGCACCTGGACTTTGTCCTTCCTTGGTGCTTTTGTTTCCACTCTAGGACAAACACTGTTTTTCTTGCCCTCTGGATTTCAAGGGGGTTGACGGTGAAAGAGCGAGGAGGGACTTGGGTGGAGGAGGTGTCTGGTATCACCACTTGGATACAGAATCACACAGGTATCTGGGCTCATCTAGTCCACTAGGGGATAGCAGGGATCCACACACAGCCCCAACTCCCTCCAGCAGGGGGCAGTGTTGCATGCGCACACACACATGCACAGACACTCTTACTGTGCACCCTTGTATATGCTAGCAGTGGTCCCCAACCTTTTGGGGCTGCTGCGCCCCCCCGGGTGGGGCTGCACATGCGCCGTGTGCCCAGGGCAGGGCTGGCCCTGATCACTCGGCGGGCACACATAAATGCCCTGGCGGGCGCCATGGCACCCACAGGCACCACGTTGGGGACCACTGTACTATTGTATGAGTCTGAAACCTGGACAACCTACAGACCTCACTTGTAAGTCCTTGAGCGGTAATGCTGCCTCCGCAAGATCTTGAAGATCAAATGGGAAGACCGGCGCACAAACATCAGTGTCCTGGGACAGGTAAAGACCACCAGCACCAAGGCAATGATCATTTGGCAGCAACGTCACAGGGCTGGGTCATGTTGTTCAGCTGCCAGCCCATCGCCTCCCAAAACAGGTTGGCTACATCTAGACTGGCATGATTTTCTGCAAATGCTTTTAATGGAAAAGTTTTCTGTTAAAAGCATTTGCGGAAAAGAGCGTCTAGATTAGCACGGACGCTTTTCTTCAAAGCACTTTTTGTGGAAAAGCGTCCGTGCCGATCTAGACGCGATTTTGCACAAAAAAGCCCCAATCGCCATTTTCGCCATCGGAGCTTTTTTGCGCAAAACAGATCTGAGCTGTCTACACTGGCCCTTTTGCACAAAATCTTTGTGCAAAAGGGACTTTTGTCCGAACGGGAGCAGCATAGTATTTCCACAAGAAGCGCTGATTTCAGACAGTAGGAAGTCAGTGTTCTTGCGGAAATTCAAGCGGCCAGTGTAGACAGCTGGCAAGTTTTTCCACAAAAGCAGCTGCTTTTGCAGAAAAACTTGCCAGTCTAGACACAGCCGTCCTGTTTTTCCAGCGGGAGGAAAGGTACCATAACGTGGGAGGACAATGGAGACATTATAAGGACTTGCTAAAGGATAACTTGAAGAAGTGCAACACTGATGTTGACACTTGGGAGACACTTGCTGAGGATCGCTCACAATGGAGACAAGTCCTACACAATGCACCCCTGCTTTTGAATTTGCCCACCGGTGAGCTGAGGAGAAGAGGTGCAGGAGGAAGGGGAGACTGGTTTCCAGTCATGGTGAGCAGCCTTCTGCTGTCCCTGGAAACATCTGTCCTCACTGTAATAGAGCTTGTAGTTCGAGGATCAACCTTGTCAGCCACCTGAGGGGCCACAACTCCCATGGAAGAGGATCATACTCAGCAGTGAGTGATTGCCCATCATTAGGGTGGCACACATGCCCAATTCCCTCCAGCAGGGGGCAGTGCTGCACACACCACCAATTCCCTCCTGCAGGGGGCAGTGCTGCACACACCCACTTCCTTCCAGCAGGGGTCACTGCTGCACACACACCACCAATTCCCTCCTGCAGGGGGCAGTGCTGCATACACCCACTTCCTTCCAGCAGGGGGCAGTGCTGCACACACACAGGGACTCACTCTTACTGTACACCCTTTATTACTAAAGTCCCAGTTCTCCTCTCCAGCAAATTACCTCCCCTCTGAGAGCCTGTTCAATCCACCAACCCTATTCCCTGGCAGTACATCCGAGCACGACCCAATTGGGGTGTCCATGCTGTGAGGAAGTCCTAGGTGTCTAAGAGAGAAGGCCCTCTAACCCCAGGCTTCCCATGCTGAGCGGTGGGTCTCTCTCCTCTGACCCCAGCCATCCCTAAGCCACATGGCTCATCTGCAGCTGCTCCGCCAGGCCCTGGGCAGAGCGATGGAGGGCCTGGTGTTGCAACAGGTTGGATCTCTGGGTGAAGGCCTTCCCGCACTGGGGGCAGGGGTAGGGCCGCTCCCCCGTGTGGACGCGCCGGTGCTGGGCCAGGTGCGAACGCCAGTTGAAGCCCTTCCCACAGTCAGGGCAGCAGTGGGTTTTCTGACCCGTGTGCAGGGAGCGGTGCTGGGTCAGGTGCTTGCCGTGGCGGAAGCCGCGCCCGCACTCGGGGCACTGGTAGGGCCTCTCGGGCGTGTGGGTGCGCAGGTGCTGCAGCAGGTTGGAGCTGTCGCCGAAGCCCTTCCCGCAGTGGGTACAGACGAAGGGGCGCTCGCCCGTGTGGGTGCGCCGGTGCTGTAGCAGGTTGGAGCGCTGGCTGAAGGCCTTGCCGCACTGGGCGCAGGGGAAGGGGCGCTCGCCGGTGTGGGTGCGCCGGTGCTGGGCCAGGTGGGCGTTGTGGCGGAAGCCGCGCCCGCAGTCCGGGCAGCTGTAGGGTTTCTCCTCGGTGTGGGTGCGCCAGTGCTGGGCCAGGTTGGAGCTCTGGTAGAAGCTCTTGCCGCACTCCCCGCACTTGTAGGGCTTCTCGCCCGTGTGGATGCGCTGGTGCCGGATGAGGAGGGTGCTGCGGGCAAAGCTCTTCCCGCACTCGGGGCACTGGTAGGGCCGGCCCAGCCCACCCTGACTCTGCCCCTGCTCCTGGCACTGGGCGGTCCCACGTGGCTCTGCTCCCACAGGCCCTGCCTGCTGGGGAGTCTCCTCCATCCTGGCACCTGCTGGGACAGAGACAATGGCGGAGGGGGGGGGTGACTGAGCAGAAAAGCTGATGGGCAGGAAGCGAATCCCCCCAAACCCTTCCCTGGGGGAGCCCGAGGTGGGACGTTGGAGTCCCCCGGCCGCAGGAGCCAGGAGTGATCTTAGCTGTGGGGACAGGGACCTGCGGCCGGGGATGACAGTGAGCGAGGCTGGGACGGGGGGGCTCGGGCTGGCTGTGCCGGGTCCCAGCTTTCCCCTTCGCTCCCGGCCGGGCTCGCTCGCTCCTCACCTGCCGGGGCGCCTCTGGGGACCCCCCCCCCCCCGCC